TTGCGTGGTCGTCACTTAAACAATGTCTTATTTTCATTAATTCATCGAATACGACTTGAGTGAATTACTTTACAAAAAACTTCCATCATTCTCTTTACCTGATCTTTGAATTTCGCATGACTGTAATTGATCGCCAAATATATCAATAATCAAAGATAGAATTTTCTGAAGACTGATTATTCCTAACGCTATTGTTGTTAGCTGCGCGGAAAGAAGGATGCCGAAGAAGGAAGAATGTGATATTTTTGATGTTTGTGATAACAGAGAGGCATAAACTCGTAATGAGTTGTTGGAATTGCTGATTAAATAAATATTTGCTTTGTGTAATCGGGATTACTTTCGCATGAATCATTCGATCACTGTTTTGCCGATTGAATGAGTCCGCCTCTTCGTTATTGTTTGATGATCCGATGTAACAGCCAAACAACACATTGCTACATTTGTAAACAAAATCTCAAGGTAGAAATCAGCACCGACAATGGGGCATTATAAGCCAAAGACTCTGTGCCATGGCTAGAGCATCGAAGACGAGAAGTTTTTGCGTTGTTTTATTGTATGTCCAGCAAATGCTCATCTAGAAATATGATTCATCTGCATTTTATTAGTATCTGACAAATAAGCGATTGAACGTATAAAATCATCGTAATCATCGTGATCTTGTTTAGTTTAGTTTGGTGTTCGATGAAAATTACAGCGTTTTAAGTGTAAATGCTTTGACTTCATCAAATACTCGACAAAACAATTTCCTGGGAAGATTTTCGAAATTTTCAAAAGAGTTCTCACGTTGTGTCATTCAAAAGACAATTGGACAGTTGAGAAACAATTTAAGCGAGTCAAAACCAACGAAATTTCCCATAGAAACGAGATGTTTGCATATGATTCAGTCATTCCAAGCTCAGCCACTGATCTTTTTTCTCAAAGCAATTTGTTTCAAAATAAAAGAGAAATAAAATCACCGAATCGCAATTTTGACTATCGCCAAAGTCTTGTCTTCATATCATCCATTTCTCCTTCGTTCAGGTTGTCAACTCTTTCAGCTCTCAGCGAATACGCACCATCACCGTATTTCAATGCAAGCAGCTGGAATAATTCTTGTAGCACTGGTAATACTTTTGACTATCGACTGTTTTTTTTTGACTGTTGAACTTGTTAGTCGTGGTCATGCTCGATGTTATTCTGCTGGTGTTTTTATAGGCTGTATATCAGCTATAACTGAATAAATTGCATGAAATTTTCGTCTGTTTGTTTGATCAGAATTGGATTCTCCACTGATTCATGACCTTCTTATAATTTATTTTTCCCAGAGCTTCATACTAAACAAGCCAGATATTTTCAGAACATCAAGTTATTGTAATTGACTCTTGCAGATTGTTTATGCTGATGCGCAACCTCATCCTGGTCGTTGTCCGCGGTTGAACACGCCACCTCCTGAACCAACTGATGACAGTTGTCATTGGGTGGTTAAAGTGGATTTCCGTGGATGTCGTTATTATTTCGAAGAATGCTGGAAACCCAACATGTAATTTAACCGAATCATTGTATTGAATGAAAAATGACTGATCGTGAGATAATGAATCGCTTAAGTCGATACTTTCAACGCAACAATTAGAACTGAGATTTTGAAGCTGGCCTATCGAATGACCTATCGAATGCAAACTCTAAAGTGCTTTGATATAGAATTGATTAGATCGATAGATGCTCTGCGTTGCAACTTTCGAAACTGATAAAATGTAATCGTAAAAAACTAGTTAGCGAAAGAGTTCACATCACATGCTTAATGTAATCTCGGTTTGACAGCTGCGTGTACTGTACATCCATGCAGTAATAGTTTATTCATTACGATATTTGCAAAATACAAGATACTTATCGATATCAAAATACTACTCTTGTGTATCGTTTCAGGTGTACTGGAAAGAATGAAATGCTATGGATATGCTCATCGGAATGTCCACCGACATGTGCTGAAAAATGGCCTGGCTGTGGAGAGGTTATCACGATCTGTTTATTACCTTTTCATTGAATACTCCAAATTTGACTGATCGTGAACATGAATTTATCCGAAAACGCATGAATATCTCCACATTAACGAAACAAAACCGTCTATCTCCACAGATCAGATCTGAAACTTATTACCAACATCAATAAACTGCAGATCAATTCTCAAGATCAGTGAAATCAGTGATCCAATTTGGCAATTCCGATAAAAACAATTGCAAACATAGGAAATTCTTTTTCCATGTTCTGAAATATTTACTTTGTCAAAAATTTCAGCAGTGTGGATCTCCGTGCTGCCAATGTGTTGGAGGCTATGTGCGTGATTCCAGCGGAGTTTGTATTCCGATACAAAACTGTCCAGATGAAAGTAATCTTATGATATATCACTCCATTTCACCTCAAAATGAAATTTGAATGATCTGCCGACATAAATAACAATGTTATGCTCTCAAATGATCCTAGTATCCATCTGATTATCTCGTACAGAAGTGATTCCGAATGCGATGCATGGCTTGTTTTTCGCTGCACTTAATCAAAGAAGATTCAACCGACTGTTATAGTACACACATTTCTGCTACTCTCTGAAATGCTATATCA